TACAGGCATGAAGCCACAAATGACTTTTTTTTTTAGACAGGTTCCCACTGTGTTACCTAGGCTGGAGTACAGCGGTGTGATTGCGGCTTACTGTTACCTTGACCTCCCAGGCTCAAGTGACTCTCCCACCTCAGCCTCCCAAGTAGCCAGGACTACAGGTGTGCACTACCATGCCTGGCTGATTTTTGTATTTTTTGTCAAGACAACGTTTCACCACATTAGCCAGGCTGGTGTCAAACTCCTGAGCTCAAGTGACCTGTGCACCTCAGCCTCCCAAAGTGCTGGGATTACAGCCGTGAGCCACCATGCCCAGCCCACAAATGACTTTTTAAACAAGCATACCAGAACTTTAAAATCTAAGCAAGTATTGCCCCTCAAAACACAGAGGTTCACTTTGGTAGGCAGAGCCTCTTCTACTGACGTTTTTACTACTTAAAAAATATTTGGGGTCAGGAATGGTGGCTCACACCTATTCCTGTACATTGGGAGGCTGAGGTGGGAGGATTGCTTAAGGGCAGGAGTACAATACCAGACTTGGCAACATAGTGAGACCCCATCTCTACAAAAATAAAATAAAATTAGCTGGGCATGGTGGCAGGAACCTGTAGTCTCAGCTACTTGGGAGGCTGAGGCGGAAGGATCACTTGAGCCCAGGAGGTTGAGGCCAGAGTGAGCTGAGATCACACAACTGCACTCCAGCCTAGGGGACAGAGCAAGACCCTGTCTCAGCAACAACAAAGAATTGGAACTACTTGACCAAGCACGGTGGCTCGTGCTTGTAATCCCAGCACTTTGGGAGGCGGAGGTGGGCAGATCACCTGAGGTCAGGAGTTCAAGACCAGCCTGACCAATATAGAGAAACCCCATTTCTACTAAAAATACAAAATTAGCTGGGTGTGGTGGTACATCTCTGTCATCCCAGCTACTCAGGAGGCTGAGCCAGAAGAATCTCTTGAATCCGGGAGGCGGAGGTTGCGGTGAGCCAAGATCGTGCCATTACACTCCAGCTTGGGCAACAAGAGTGGAACTCTGTCTCAAGAAAAAAAAAAAAAAACCAGGAAAAATAATTGGAACTACTTTTTAAACTGTCCCTGCAGGACTGGGTGCGTTGGCTCATGCCTGTAATCCCAGCACTTTGGGAGGCGTAGCGGGGCAGATTACTTGAGGTCAGGAGTTTGAGACCAGCCTGGCTAACATGGTGAAACCCTGTCTCTACTAAAAATACAAAAATTAGCCAGGCGTGGTGACATACGCCTGTAATCCCAGCTACTTGGGAGGCTGAGGCAGGAGAATTGCTTGAGCCCGGGAGGTGGAGGTTGCAGTGACCCAAGATCGTGCCACTGTACTTCAGCCTGACCCACAGCGAGACTCTGTCTGGAAAAAAAAAAAATCTGTCCCTGCAAACACATTATCAGCTGCACCACAAAATCATTTTTCATACTCTACATAGAGGAAATGTTCCTTTTTTCTACAACTTTTTTTTCTCTCTGACTCCACAATGCTTTTCAATTTAATTCCCCTTCCCCGAGCCCTTTAGGACCCCACCTTCCTTTATAGATATGCTGGACGCTAAAAGACCTCAGAAAGAGAAGCTGAGCAGGGTAAGAGAAATAGAGAAAGCAAAACCTTATTCAGAGCATATCTGTAACTTATTTACTGCCAATCTAAGAACTCTGTGTTGATAACATCAAAAATTATTTTTTTAAAATTTATATTTATTTGTTTATTTTTTGGAGACAGTGCCTCACTCTGTTGCCCAGGCTGGAATGCAGTGGTGCGACCTCTGCTCACTGCAACCTCTGCCTCCCAGGTTCAGGTGATTCTTGTGCCTCCTGAATAGCTGGAATTACAGGCACCGGCCACCACGCCTGGCTAATTTTTTGTATTTTAGTAGAGACGAGGTTTCACCATGTTACCCAGCATGGTCTCTAACTCCTGAGCTCAGGCAATTAGCCCACCTTAGCCTCCCAAAGTGCTGGGATTACAGGTGTGAACCACCACGGCTGGCCGATCATCACATCAAAATTAGCTGAGAACAGTACAAATCAACTAATTATAAGCTAAAATCATGCTACTCACTTTTAGGAGGCAAAGAAAGAAGAAGCATAAGTGGAAATTAGGGTATGTAAGTCAAATTCAGAAGAACAAGTAAAATTCTATTAGAATAAACACCATTAAAACGGAAGATTTAGCTGGATGGTGTGATGGAAGTAAGCTATAACAATGCCACTGCACTCCAGGCTAGGCAACAGAGTGAGACCCAAGTATAAAGACTGGCTATGTGTTTTGAAAGAAAATGTTCAACTAAGTAGTGCACAAACTAGGGAAAAAATTCGGGAATAGAACAAGTACACAGTGAAAATTTAGGTGTCCTTTCACTCTGTACTCTTGCTCCCCAAGTCTTCTTCCCAGGTAACTTTTAAACAATTTTTTTGTGTATAGTCCAGGGATATTCTGTATATATGCAAGCTGTTTCCTTGATAGCCTGATTTCTGATATTTACTTTTTACTTTTTTTTTTTTTTTGATATAGAGTCTCGCTCTGTCGCCCAGGCTGGAGTTTAATGGCGCAATCTCGGCACACTGCAACCTCCGCCTCCTGGGTTCAAACATGTTCTCCTACCTCAGCCTCCCAAGTAGCTGGGGATTACAGGTGCCTGCCACCTTGCCTGGCTAATTTTTTGTATTTAGTAGAGATGGGGTTTTTTTGCCATGTTGGCCAAGCTGGTCTCGAACTCCTGACTCAAGTAATCACCCATCTCGGCCTCCCAAAGTGCTGGGATTACAGGCATGAGCCATTGTGCCCAGCATTGCTTTTTTTGTTTGTTTGTTTTTGTTTGAGATGGAGTTTTGCTCTGTTGCCCAGGCTGGAGTGAAGTGGCACTGTCTTGGCTCACTGCAACGCTCTGCCCTCCCAGGTTCAAGGGATTCTCCTGCCTTAGCCTCCCAAGTAACTGGGATTACACGGGCGCACCATGC